TCTACGCTCTCCATGAACCATTAGAAAGTGGGGGAATCACAACAAATGTGTAAAACCTTAAGTTTGAAGGCAAAATGACATTGCTACTTTTTATTACAGGACAAACAGATTTCTGCTTATCATTTTTCTTTTGTATCTTTAAGATGCTCTGCTGCACCATCCCTCTCAAAACCATTACCACGCTCTATCCCTCATAGTGGGAGATCCACTATACTCCTAATATGTGTCTGAAGACCCTGTCAACACTCCAAAGACAGCCCATTTTCTGGTTAATTTTTCATATTAAAAATGCATCAGAATATCTGAGTCAAGGTTAAGGCTGTTAGCTGATCTTGTGCTTCGACATAGCTTCCAATTTCATGTAAAAATATAAAGGCTTCTGTCATTTTGAGGGGACAGCCCTACATTCCAATTTTTACAGGTTTTGGCGCCAAAAAAAATACAACATGGCAACTCTCAAAAATAGAAATATTGGCTACACTTCTAAATGACAGAAAAAATGCTTTGTGGACCTTCATGAATGTTGGTCTACACAGTTCTGATACCATTGGTTTCTCAGTTGCACCAGTTTCAACAAAGGTGCAAATCTGTGACAATGAACTTTTAACAAGCCTCTGTAGCCATTCACTGCAATGTTCTGTCAGAAGGAAATTCTAAAGTCTGTAAGATTTGTGATTATTTTTTAACACTTCGAAATACTTTGAGCTGTCTATAAAAAAGGTATTTCTTTATTAAAATTTACTTTAGTTGTGCGAAGAAGAACCATTTAGTTTTACATACACACAGCAGCAGGAAACGTGTGTGTGTGTATAGAAAATGGATGGATTGGTGTTCGCTTCACAAGTCCAGCTTGAGTCACCAGACAAAGCTCACCCAATGATCGCTAACTGTTCTGCATGTAGTTTGTGAGTGTGTGGTTTTGCAATAAATGGTAATGTAATAATTTAAAAAAAAGTCCTACACGTATCATCACTATGTCACAAACTTTAAAACGAAGAAGCGGTTTCTCTCACTCGTTTCTCACACATTTCAGATGTGTTTTATTCTTGTGAAAAAGCAAGCCAACCAAAATCCAGAATCTAGCCTCAGCTTCCAGCCAAACACACGTTACTGCATTAAAAATGTAAGGCAGGGTAGATTTTTATTCCTCAAAGCACAGCACAAAGCAAATCAGGCAGGAAAAAACATGCACTTTACCTTTACTTGGACTTTAAAGTGACAAGCAAAAATACATTTATTTATGTTTACATGGTATTTCACAAAAAAATGGCTAAGTATGCCAGTCTGATCTTACAACAGGCAGTTTCCAAAACATAAGAAATGTATCTTTGAAAAAACATGCAGCTGCAAACACAAGCACACCCACAGTCAGATCTGCCAACAGTGAGGAAAAGCATCTTCATCAGGGATTCGGTTCTTCCTCAGGGTCAGTACTGAGTTCACCGACAATCCGTATTGCTTTGGCACAGTGCAACGAGGAGGATTCACAACGTACTCCTTGTAGTGTTCTTAAGATACTGCCAATAAATCAGTGTCTCAGTGGAACTGAGAACCTTTAGGTTTGGAAAAGACTTTTTAAAAGCACCGACTTCTTAAAGAAGAGCATCAGAAGGTACCAATTAAAAGAAAACTCCAATTAAAACTTGTTTTTAGGAAAACAGCTGCTGCAAGGTCATGCAAGTCTAAAAAAGGAAGTTATTTTAGGAAGAAAACAATTATCAAACATTTTGTTTTGTTTGAAATGACTGTCTTATTAATGCATTTTGAATGTTTTTCTGGTGGTTTTGAGTTTGTTCTGTTAGCTCTTAGCTAACTTGGGATGGCCTAGTGTCTTTTTGTTGTGGATTTAGTAACTGATTTGTACTTTTGAGTCATGCTGCGGTTGGAAATTTGATTCTACCCTTGAGTGCTGTTTTTCGGGAGTGAGTGAACCACTTCATAGTGGTTTTGATGCTTCATGTTATTAAGCTTTTTTTGGTTTCCGGTTTTAAAAAGCAAAACATAATGTACAAAACCCAGCTATGAATATCTAACAATGCTTGTACTTAAATATAATGAGTCAACATGAATTACCATGCAGTATCGGCTGTTTGCAATTAACTAATGGTGTCATCTAAACAGGAAAATTGGTACACCCAGTTGTTGGTTTAATAGTATTGAACACTGCAGAAACATACAGTATGTTCAGATGAAAAAGAAACACATTCAGCATCTCACCGGGTCACTTTAAGTTTAAAAGAACAATCATTGATAGAAAAAAAAGATTAAAAGCAGTTGGAAAAAACAGACAGCTCAGCTGATGCTTCAGATGTTCAGATCCATGATCTTTCAAGCAAACTCAGCTGATTTAAGCGCTCCGGCTCTAGGTCCTTTTCTTTTTTTTTTTAATTAAAACCTCAGCCTCATCCTAAAGAGCTATTATCAATAAGATGTATGAGAAAGAAAGAAAGAACGCAAGCAAGAAAGCAAGAAAGAAGAAAAAGGATGAGGACGTTCACAATTTCCCTCATCTTATGTTCTCTCAGTGCCCATTTTATCTCTGATAAAGGACACTTAGTGATATTTGTTCTCTGTCAGTAAGACCCTTGGGCGACTCCCTTTACTCGCCTGCATTCACACCAGCAAACACAAACACACATTATCACAATCTGTAAATACTGAACACAGAGCCTACATTATTTTGATTTTTGTTTCATGATGCAGGCAAATCAATATTTCTTCACAACCACAAAATATACAACCACGTTGCATTCTTAAATAACATTAAAGATCATTGATTTTGCCACTTGACTGTGGTTCCTCCCTGTTCGTCAAAGCTTGCTGTGATGCGGCTATAAGCAAGAAAAAAAAATGCTAGCAATTTCCTCTTTAATGTACAAGTGTTTATGTCCATGCAGCACAAAATCAATCCCCTTCAAATGCAGGCAGTGATGAAACAAGGAACTCATTTCTGAGAAGTATTTTTGTCTTATGGTAGTTCAATGTATAGTAATAGTTTCCCCCCCTAAAAGAATGTACCCTTTGTGTCTCTGTAAAGTATCCTCTTGAAGGCCCTCCTGAAGTCTTTGTTGAAGATGGTATAAATGACAGGGTTGAGACAAGAGTTACAGTAGCCAATCCAGAAGAAGAATTTAAACAGAGGTTTAGGTATGCTGCAAGTCTTGGGGCACACGGCCTTCAGAGAGTAAGAAAAGAAAAAGGGGAACCAGCAGATGACAAACACCCCCATTACTACAGCCAGAACAAACGTGAACCTCTTCTCCCTGTTCACCATGGCCTTACGCCGGGAAATAGGTGTCCCCTGAGACTTCAACATGTCCTCAGGTACCACTGTGGTTCCAGATGTTGTGGTCATGGTGTTTTTGTATCTGCCAGCCAGACTCGAAACCTGATTTTTGTTTCTTTCGTTTTGGGAAAACCCAAAAGTTTGTTCGTCAGACTTGTTTTCATTTTGTTTGGCCTCTTCTGTTTGATGGCCTCCCTCATCAATTTCCAAATCAGCATCAGACCCAGAGCTGGAGGTGTTATCAGGATGTGTGTTATCTCCTGAATCTAGATGTTTTTGGGACTCCATGTGGGGAACATCTGGAAGTCCTGGGCTTTCACATTGTAGAACTGAAGGGGGGTTTTGAACAGTACTTGAACGAGAAGGGTGATGCTTATTGGTTTCTTTGACTGGCTTTTTAAGCGATGACTGTGTCGAATCAGATGGGGATGTTGTGTAGACTATTTTTTGTTGGCATGCAGTCGGACTTTCATGGTTCCCATCTTTTTGGAATTGCTCAGGTGACTTTCCCACATGCTCATTGTCTCCTACACCGACATTTACTCCCGCCAAAGTTTTGTGCTTTTGTCCAGGTGGGTGACGAGTATGCTGCTTAGCAATTTGATAAATCTTCATGTAAACCAGAATCATAATCACACAGGGGGCAAAGAATGAGCCGATGGTAGAGTAGAGAATATACCAGCGTTCGCTGTTTAGTTCACACGTCTCTTCACCTCCTTCACTCTTGTCTAGAGTGAGGAGAGGAGGGAATGAGATGACTGCAGAAATCAGCCAGACTATGATAATGGCCACCTTGATGCGTATGGATGTACGTTTGGTGCCGTAAGACACAGGTCGAGAGATGGACAGGTAACGGTCCAGAGCTATTGCACAAAGGTGCACAATGGAGGATGTGCAGAAGAGAACATCCAGTGCCAGATAAATCTCACACCAAATGGAACTGAATGCCCAGTAGCCCTGCAACTCATTTGCCAATGAAAAGGGAATAATAAGCGTAGCAACTAATATGTCTGCTGCTGCCAGTGAGACCAGGAAGAGGTTCTGTGCCCCCTTTAGAGATCGGGATGTTAGGACCGCGATGATGACCAGGATGTTCCCGACTATGGTCAAGAGCATCATAAAAGTGATGGCAATAGCAAAAGCTGCAGTGGCTTGTGGTGAGTAGCTTGTGGTCCGGATAGTGCTCCGGTTGCAGGGCCGACTTCCAGAGACGAGGCTGATGTTCTTGTGAGAGAGTCCACTGAGCTCTGACAAGCAGGGTGCATCTAGGACAGCTGCCATGGCTGTGATGGGGTCAAACCTTATCCCAAGTCTTTTACAGAACGAGATACATCACTGGGGTGCTTCTGCTGTAAACCGTTGAGAGCCTACGGTCCTCTAAAAGAGGGAAACAACTGGATGCCTTTGGTCATGGTGAAACCATATGACCTTTGCAAAGGGAGGCAGATCTAGAAAAGAAAAACACATTTCACAACTTTGTTAGATCACCATTTGAAATTAAGTTGGTGATGCTTTTGAATGGAAAAGTATTTTTGTGGTAGATTTAAATCATAAAGAGACCTAAGCATAGAAATAAAAAACAAGGACCTTAGAAGAAGCTATAAATAAATAAAATACATGTAAATATTAGCATACAGCTAAGATAAGCAGTTTGATTAAAGACTAATGGGAATAAATTAAAATAGTAAAAATGAGTGTAAAGTTACTTAAAAATAATGCAAAACACCAACAAAAAAATAGTATGATTTATGATAAAAAGTCAACAAAAATAAGCCAGGCACTGGATTATATTTCTAATCTCAATTTAACTATTCTGTTCATTAGCAGTCGCTGCTGTGAGGAAGCTTTTTCCTGAACTCTCAAACCACTAAGTGTTCACATAGTGGTTGTAGGCAATTTATTTCAAGCTTTTTCCACCTTCTCTTTAATGTATTGCTGTGTTCATTTCAAACTCCATATTTGAAAGCAATCGCAGAAAAGCAACTAAGCATTTTCTTCGAGTTCCACGAGTTTCTCTGACTTCCAACCATAAGGATCAACTTGACTGCCACAATATTTTGTTAGTCCTTATATATTTTTTAGTCAAAGTATTATAGCAAAAAAGAAAAAAAATCTGATTTGATTGGTTTCATGAAATGTATTTTTGAACGACAACTATTTTCTGCTTTAATAAATGTTTCAATTTACAGATTTGAGTTTTCAGCTGAAACTCTAAATGCATTTTCCATAATGCAATGGTTTGTGAACAATGGTATTAAAGGAAGCCTGCGTCCTTAGTTTTAGGCTACTAGAAGTCACTGCATCTTAAACACCGGTCTTTTAAATGGTCAATCCACAATGATGAAGCCTCTCAGGGGTCAAATAGTGGAAAATAAAATCTGCCGTCAGCAAAATCTGTTGGTCTTTTCTGTGGGGCTGTGATCGACTGGCAACATGTCCAGAGTGTATCTATTATCTATTGCCCCAGTGACTGTGGAGAGAAGCACCTGCTCCCTCAGAAAATGTATGTATTTGTCTAAACACCTAAACCTGAAGGACAAACAGAAAAAAAACAACAGAAGCAAAGTTAATTGTGTCAAAGTCACCTTATTATTAGCAGAATGTTGCAAAGCCACATATTGTTTCATTTATATTTTTCTATGCCACTAACAAGGTTTGACAGGCATAAAATAATGTTTCAGTGTCAATGAGATGTTTGTTAAAGGTGGGGTTGCTCTTCATCGTCCTTCATCAACTGAACGATGATGCATTTCTTATTTCCTGTCAGGTCACTGTTAACTTTTTCCATATTTCTTTAGAATTTCTGTCAAATATATTGTTCACTTGCTCTATAGTTTTAATGCCTGTCTTACATCCAATGTGCACCCTGCACAGCATGCTGAGATGTGCCTTGTTGTTAGAGGTTGTATTTGGGATTTACCACGAAAAGGCATTTTATGTTTGCCAGTGTTGTTTTGTATATATTTATTCAAACAAAATAAAATGTAACTTTTGAGCGCCATGAGAATAGAATTAACAAAGAAACAATAATACCATTCCTCTAAAAATGATTAAGTTTACTGCACTGGAACTGACCTGAAAAGCAGCCAAAGTGTAAAAATAAAAAACCATAGAGAGCTGTTTTTTTTTTTTTGTTTGGTGTGGGGGGGGGGGGGGGGGTGTTTGTAAATTAAAGAATATAAAATCTGACTCCTTGCAAAATATAACACAATTAAGGATAGCTGAATACTTTTGCACAGCTCTGTGTGAATCCTTTAAACTTGCAGAGTTAAATGTGAATTTTTTTTTATTTAGTCGCAGACAACTCTTTGCTTTCATACAGATATTTACGACTGCAAACCACAAATGCATTTTTTTTGTTCAAATGTCTAAATTTTCTATTAGAAGTTTTGCAGATTTAAAATGGAAACCTGTTGTTTGCACTTTTGTTAACTGCAATTTCTATCCATAGTGCTGTTTCTGGAAGGGTTTGACACTTAGGATTTCAGTGTGTAATGTGGTATTATGTAAGACACGGAGGAGATGGTTTTATATTTGGTTGCACAACTGAAAATGGTTGGACTGTTTCTGCACAGTCAGAGCAGTGATCTTCTTAATGCACTCACCATTACTGTCTGAAAATGAAAGAAAAAATAAACAGATTTTATTTTGTAAGCTATATTTAACCACGATAACCTTATTTTGAGGGTGTTGCAATAGAATTAAATCAACATTTAATCAGTTTCTATAGTGTTCCAATACCATTTATTGACTATTTGTTTACTATATTGTACAGTGCAATCTACAAACTACTATTACTAAAGCTTATTTAATGTGACCTTTCATTTTTGGGTTCCCATTATGAAACTTGCAGATAAGCAGCTGCTTTTACAACAAGCACTTTGCTTATTTACTAGTAAACAAAACCTTTAGACTTTAGCAAGTGCGCTTCTGTTTACACCCAGAAAACTCTTGTAAAATCTCCACTTACTTCATCTCTGTAGTCCTATTCCATGCCAACAACTTGAAAAGTTTATTCTCGGACAAGAGGATGCAGAATTTCAAAGAAAGCATCCGGAAATAATGCGTCACTGAATGTCCCGACGGACGGAAAGAGGCAGAAAGTCCGCTGGTCTCCACAGATCGTGTTTTAAATCGGGTTGGATGAGATTCTCAAGGTGGGCAACGATCTGAGCACTGAGCTGCTCCTATCCAGCGCGCGCTCTGGAGGAGTTCTGCTCGCAGAGGGAGGGATGGAGAGGAACTGATGCGGATTTCACCGACGCGCCTTTTTACGCGCAGGACTCCCAGAGTGTCCACGGTGACTGTGCGCGCTGCGTGTCCTCCCCGGGAATCAGGTTAAAGGTGACACGCGGCTCTTGGAGCAGGGAGACCAGTGGGAGGTTCCAGTTCATCTGAAATCTGTTCACTCTTCAGGTCTGTTTTAAGATTGTGGGCTGTGTGGAAAAACGAAGCACACTCCATTTTTCAGTGACATGTTTTGTTCAGTCTCATGATTGTGGAGGAATTTTGAGACACTCTTTTTAATTTCAATGAGGTTTTCAAATCAAATTTAAATGTATTTGTATAACACATTTAAAAACAGCTGTCATGGCCAAAGTGCTGCACACAAAACAAACGGCAAAACAAACAAACAAACAAACAAAAAATAAAAAAAAAACACATGCAGTTAAAAATATCACAATACATAAAACACAACCATTAAAATAATGCTATAAAATGTCAACTCTTGTGCTGTATTAACAGCCAGAATACAAATGTGTTTTAAGGTGTGACTAAAAACAACATAAGTTAAATAAAGCCCGTCTAATATGAAGGTACAGTAGTTCCTCGTTTATCGCGGGTGATCGTACCCTGAAGCCCCGCGATAAGTGAAAAACCAGGAAGTAGGAATACAGTAGTCCAAGTTCAATTTCAAATACATTAAACTTTATATTAAGGCTTTAGAAACCCTCCCCACACTCGGAGTGTTCTAAACTCTTAAATCTACATCATTTTAACATATGTTACTAAATTTTACTAGCTCTGCAGAACAGCAAGAGCCCTGGTTCTGGTCCACCTCTGTTTGTTTCTGCAGACCTATCTTGCAGCAACAACCCTAACCCACAAATCAGTCCTCTAAACACAAACCTACTAATTTTAACAACATACAGTACTTATATGCATAGGAGCTACAACATTTTACTTACCAGGCTCTGCAGTACAGGAGCAGCTCGGTTCCGGTTTGACCCGATGGATGAAAAAAGTTTGGTACAGCATGACTGAAGTCCACTGCTCCATCCAGCTTGATGTGCATGGGCTGCTGCCCAGGATTTAGACCACCACCTCTGGCCCAGTCCAGACCAGCACTGCACGACCAGAACCTGACTGAACCCTGCAGCAGTCCGTCGTCTGCAGCTCCCAGGATTTGGGTCACACTGATTCTGGATCAACTGCAGCACAGCTACTCAGAAGTGAAGAAACAACTTGAAGGATGAGTTCATCGTCAGAATTATTTGTGACTGTCCTGCCAGTCCTGTGAGCTTATCCTTACAGAACTTCTGACTTTGCTGAAAAACTTTCCCTCCATTTGCAGCAAGCAGCAGTTGGAGGTGCAGTGTTGACTCACGGGAAGTGATGGCTTCTGGGTAACGTAGTTCTTTAGAGAGGCAAAACAGTGAAGGCTTAATGAAAGAAAACTACAAAATGATGGCACATTTTTTTGAAGGGGAGGAAATATAATGTACATTTACAGTATTCAAAAAAAAAAAAAACCCACGATAGAATGAGTCCGCGATAATGAACCGCAAAGTAGTGAGGGACTACTGTATATTTTCATCACAGCTCTCCACACAGTCTGAACCCTGACTGGACACCTGTAGCACTTTTCTTTTTCATCCATTATGTTGTAGATTTGCTGCTATACTTTAGAATCTCTCTTCTGGTTTTTCTTGACCCAGTTTGGTCCAAGCTTCAGCTGTTGTACCAGATTTGACCATTTCAGTCTTAGTTGACGAGTCTGACGAGTTTGACTCGTTGCTCGGTGCTTAAATCATCAGCACTCCACCACCATGCCTGACAGTTGGTATGAGGTGTACTGTGGTGTTTGTTAAACACGTTCCTGTGCATTATGGGTAAAACATTTTTATTTTGGTCTCACCTGTCCAGAGGACATTTATTCTGAAGTTTTGTGGTTCATTCAGATGCATTTTCCAAACCTAAGTCAGGCTGCCATGCTCTTTTTTTTTTTTTTTTTTAGAAAGAAGGGGCTGTCTCAATCCTTTCCAAACAAGCAATGCATG